GCTCATCAAGATGTTATAAGACATTATTTCTAACTGCATCAATGCACTTCCTTTTGTTCACACGGGATGTGGTACATATCTCAGCTTACAGGATGTGTGTGGGTGTGTGTGTGTGTGTTCAAAGTAATAATTTTTTTTTTTTTTGTAATATCAATATAGTACTATACATATTGTGGGTGTTATTATTTTGAATACACATTTTTGTCCTTAGGAAGCATGGCATGCCTGAAAATTAACAGACAATACACTTTACCCTCATTATAAATTATAAAGTATAAGTCTATAAGTCTGGTGGTGGTTTGAGGAGATTCCCCCGCTTTCATGTAAAGCGCTTCGAGTACCCAGAAAAGCGCTATATAAATGTAACTAATTATTATTATTATTATTATAAGTATAATTTTATTAGCTCAGAAAATGCAAATATCATGATTATATTTCTAACCTTATGAAAACTGGATCACACCTTCACACTAAAGAAAGCTTGTGGAACTCTTCACTAAAATGTTATTTAAATGTTAAATATAATATAATTGTGCTATTCATCTAGTGGAAATACAATTAGAGATCAAGAATTCGAAATTTTATTTTTGATATTAAGAATTTGTTTTTTGTGAGTGATGTCATTAAAGGGGTCATATGATGCTTTTTTAAAGATCATTATTTTGTGTATTTGGTGTAACAGAATATGTTGACATGCTTTAATGTTCAAAAAACACTTTATTTTTCAAATACTGTGAAGGCCTGCGATCGGACGCCGATGTTGCTTTGTTTCTTCTCGATAGGTGAGTAACACCATGTCTGCGCCTCAACAGCTAAAATCTGTCTAGTACACTGGACGTGACAAAGCGACTGTTGAAAATCATTTGAAATTTGTGTCAATATGTCATAAATAGAACGCAGCAGCAGTTTTCTATTGGTGATTTGTCGTGTCGCGCCGCGCCACATCCAGTGTAGACCATAGATATGTATATATATCTATGGTGTAGACAGCATCACTGATTATAATGAGTTCTATAGTATTTTGTCGCGCCACGCCACTCGCGTCCGGTGTAGACACGGTGTAACATTGGTTTTGCTTTGTTTCACAGAACTAATCGTTGCCTGGGTTGCGTACGTATGTGTGGGGCGGAGCTATCAAAATAGGGGCGAGACCCTTTTAGGGTAGGGGCGTGTTTGTTTTGGTGATTTCAAATGTCAACATTGGCTACCAGAAATCGCTTACCCCATCTTTAATGATAATAACAATTCACAATTCCGTTTGGTGCCACTGGAAGGATAGTAATTACACACGGTCCCTCAGTTTAAATAAAATAAAAAGTTTAAAAGATCATTTTTAAGAATTATAAGAATAATTAGACTTTAAAAGACTTTCCATTCAGGCATGTATCTCGACAATCTCATTTGTTTAAAAGGTGATTTGAGATTAATGTTGTTTTGAAGATATTGTGAATCCTACTGTTATGAATCTGGCCCCTGTGGTTCTGACTCCTCAGTACACTGAAGAATTTCATTATTGTAAGACTTCATATGTCTAAAAAAGGCAAAAGCAAGATAAATGTTATGTGCGGTCATGGTTTATTTTGAATGAAATTACATCTTATTTATGTAACACTGAAAAGGAAGAAATAACCTATTTGGATTAAATACCATAACTAATTGCATTTGATTATTTGATATTGAGGAAAGGAACCTCATTGGATCAGGCAAATAATGCCACTAATGAAAACCTGTCCATGCATGCAGTGATACCACAGTATTTCATCATTTCCTCCAGTCAGCTAAAGGTTGATGGATCTTATCTTATCTTACAACAATATAAAAACCCTAGCCTAACCCTATACATTTACAATGATTAAACATTAACAGTATTATAAGCATTTTATCTCAAGAGCCAATATATGAAGTACACAGTGGCAAGCTAAATTAGTACACACATTGTTTTCACAAAACTAATGTCTAATGTGTAGGCAGTTAAGCTTACATGACCTATGAATAAATATTCCAAAACTCAGTCGTCAATATAAAACAGTGGTGTGGGAAAGGTCACACCTGAAGGGGGAAGGAGGTATTTATACAAAGTATACAATGATTATTAAAGGTGTCCTATTATGCTTTTTCACTTTTTCAACTTTAGTTCCCTTTCGAAAGGGAACTCCACGCTGCGTCCTCTAGAGGGCGCTAGGGGAACGTCTTCAACGTGACCGGTGTCTGAAGCATGAATGAAAAAACGACAATGAACTTGACATTGGCAGGCGGCAGCCTATGACGTAAACAATAAAGCAACTGCGGGTATAAAAGAACACCTGCGGAATACGTCATCCACCTCTTTGTCTTCAAGCCCTGTGTATGGAAGCACATGCGTCTGCCTCGCAAGAGAGAAGGATGCACTCACTGTTTGCATTCGCGGGACTACTAGAGGCAGAGGTCTGTACTCGAGCTTTGTCAGCGTTTGCACGAGCGCGTTGGCCTCTCGAGGGAGTTGAACAAGCTTAATGCGATGCATTCGCACTGCGAGATGTGATCGCATTGAGAATGCCTTGTATGCTTGATTCTCTTTGAGCCTCACTAACTGTGTCTAGCGTTGAGTGTGGTCAGGTCTCCTCTCATTTTAGAGAGTCGTTATGCTGAGATCTCCACTTTTTAGAGCTTCTCTATAGGGCTGAGCGTTGTTAGGCTTCCTCTCATTTAGG